AGCATCTGATCTGTACTCTGCACTGGCGATGTGAGCACTGGAGCAGCGTTTGGAGCAAGGGACACCAAGGACGGCTGCAACTCAATTTCGATATCATGAAAGCCAATTATATAATCAAGCATTAAAAAAGTAGGGATGGACTTATCTTTAAATTAACAATTTCAGTAATTTCAAAAATAATACTATAATAACCCATTATATTTCCTTAGCACACGCCTCGACACAACAATGCTCCTTAGCAATAATGTTCAAGATAAAACGAAATTTTGTGTCCGAGAGCACTTTAGACAACAATAGAACTTACAAGAGCATTGGAGCCCTTTAGCCACTCAGTCGAAGAGCATCCCGCACTCGTCCCCCGTGTATCAGGAAAAAGATCGGCATGAAAATCGCGATATGACTAAAAGAAAAACTTATGTAACCTTCCTATAAATCCAGGTCATTCCCAACTTTAACATTGTAGAAAAAGTTTTTTTTCAAGATTTTTAAATGCATTTCAATAGTCCTCCTAAAACTATTGTAGATCTAATTTTAATGTATATGATCGGCACAGGAATATTTCTATTTGAACGCTCAAGCGTTCAATCTTCAGAAAAATCAGAGACGAGCTCTTTTACGCATACCAATTCTTTTAAAGTAAGAACTAAACAAGGGATAAACAGATTTAGTGGACGAATTTGTAAGAAGAAAAGTAAACAAAGAAAGGAACAAGGAAAAAAGAACTCACCCTTCGAGGTACAATACAAGGAACCGGCAAAATGCTATGTTTTGTGAGCTGGTAGAAAATATCCACCTCCCCACTCATAACATTGACGTTGCGCTTATTACCCAAGCAAGCACCAAGATTTTGTTCCGTCAATGACATTTCATACACTAAAAACTGGAGAAAATCAAGAAGAGGAAGATGATAATTCGAAAAAAGAGGTCTACCTGGAGATAAAAATGGCATTTTCGATTGAAACTCAGCCAAGAACAATTTGTTGGTTCCCTTACCAACCAT